CCCCAGCAGTACACCCAGAAAAAAAAAATCATCATGCCGTAAAGTCCAACTTTATCCTTCCAGGACCAGCTTCTCAAAGCCCCACCCGGGACCTCATCACCTGATGCCTTCTACCAACCCTTGGGTTTAAAACGTATGATTAAGCTAAAATTTTCCCCGACCGTTATCTCCATATAGAAGGCCCATCAGAAAAGACAAATGTGTGGGGGGAGGGGAGCAAAAAATTACAGAAGAAGGCTGAAAATTTTAAGAACGGGTATAAAGTTTTCACACTTGCCTATCATCCCGCTCTGATGGCTCTGATGTGGCTGTTACTACATATTGTTCTCTTTATATTAGAAGAGTTCCTCTTGAAGTGTTTCCTGTTTAATAAAATGTATTGGGGGTTTTTTTTCCCGGTGTGAGGTGATTCATCTGATGAAGAGAAGGAACTCTCCAGAACCGTCATGAGATACTGGGCCAACTTCGCCCGGAACGGGTGAGTCGACTCGCGTCCCTTCCTCTATTATTAGTTTGTCTATCCTGAATAGGAGGACAAGGCCGGAGACCCAAGGAAGGTCTACGGCTCCGAGCCGAGGACTGAGATCATCAGAAATTATATTTAATGAGAAATGAGCATATCCGGACCTCCAAAAGTCTATCAAAGTACCTGGAATCTTTCATTGGCTGTAACCAAAACCAACCAATATTTTCCAATGAAGATCCACCATGTGCCAAGGACTCCGTACAGTCTCCAGACCTTTCCTTCGCCCTTTGTGCCCCCTTATTCGGGGACAACTCCCCAGGTTTTAGACATTGTAAGCTGCAGGAAAATTTGGTTTGGATATTTCGTTAAAGGAGAACTATGAGGGGGGTGATTTCCACTCACCTCATAGTTCTAAGCCGACCTGTGACAGTGAGACTGTCACAGGTCGGCTCAGTAGATCGGGAGGTGAGCGAACACATACCGGGTTCCCTCACCTCTCAGAGCTGTAGCTCCCTATATACTGAGCCTAGGGTGATGGGAGGACGCTAGTTTGTGTCCTCCCGTTACCCTAAGGAGAACTATGGGGAAAAACACTGACCCCATAGTTCTCCTTTAATTCGGTTCAGGTTTTGGAAGAAATCCGAATTTCGTTAGTTTTCGATGAGTTTACGGATGTATATTCGTTGCCACTGCCACCGAAAAACCATACACAGATATTAATACCAAAGCTGAGGATCCCAGACCCCGAATGGCATTCAAGAGCTCCTGAATGGTATTCCGAAAATTGGGTCCCGAATGCCATCCGGGTCTGGGAGCCTCAGCTTTTGTATTATATGTATATACTGAACACGACTTTTCGTTACGTGACTTTTCTGGCCAATCAGATGGCTCCCATGTTGCCGTAACGAAAATTCGTGTTCAGACCCATTCGGCTGCATTTAACCAAAAAGCACATCTGATTGGCCGGAAACGTCACATGTCCAATTCACTTTAGTTTTTGAACAGAATTCGGATGGGATGCCGAGTATTTGGACGAGAACTTGTACCCGCCCAAATGCCTAGCCCGATACTTCCGGTATCAGGAAGCCGGGCAGCGAGTCATTACACACTGCCCGACTTCCTGATTGGCCGGGAAGACGGCTCCATGGTCCCTCAGTCACTTGTGACAAGTGAGCATAAAGCCGGCCAATTGGGAAGCTGGGCAGTGTGTAATGACTCGCTTCCCGAACAATCAGGAAGCCGGGCACCGTGTAATGACGCGGCACCCGACTTTCTGATTGGCCAGGGAAGCCGGCTTCATGCTCCCTCGTCAACTCATGACAAGGGAGCATGGAGCCGGCTTCCTGGCCAATCGGGAAGCCGGGTGCTGCGTCATTACCTGAAAGCCGGCTCCATGCTTTCTCGTCACCTGGTGACGAGAAGCATGGGGACGGTTTCCCTGCTAATCGGGAAGCCGGGGACCGAGTCCTTACACGCCACCTGGTAAATATCGGTACTCTTACTTGATACCGAAATACCGGTATCGGTGCATTCCTAGTAACGAGCTTTCTTTATAATATGAAACCAAACTGCACGTAGAGTCAATGATGCTTTAACCATCACCAGCCCAACGCACACAATGCCCTCCTCCGGCCCAGGTCTTCCGAGAGCGAGGAGCGCACCCAACATACGTGATGACATCACTGACCCCATCCAACGTACTTTGCAACTTCCAGAACACTTCAGAAGTGATGTCCCCCGAAGAAGTCTGGAAGTAGTGAAAGAAGCGTACCCAACATACATGATGATGCCATTGACTTCACCCAACGTGTCTTGTCACTTCTGGACTTCCTCAGGAGCAGCGTCCCCTACAGAAGTCCAGCAGTGATGGAACACATTGGATGAATTCAGTTATGACGTCATCAATATTTCAGCGCGGTTAGGAATACGATGAGTACGACTTGCCTGGAACAGGACGTTCTTTACTGAAGTGTGTTTCGTTTTTATTTCTGGCAGGGACCCCAATGGACCGGGTCTGGTGGAATGGCCTCTGTATGACGCAAAGGAGAAATATTTGGAAATTAACCTAAAGCAGAAAACATCGGCTCGGCTGAAGGAGGACAAGTTCAAATTTTGGAGCAAGGTCCTTTCTGAGATGACTTTGGAGAAGAGAGGGGAGCGCACCGAGCTGTAGACATTACTTCTGTCCATTCTTCTTGTCCCTCTCAATCTCTGCGTCCATTTCACCATCTCCTCCTCTGTCTCTCCATCTCCTCCTTCATCTGTCCATCTCCTCCTCCTCCTCCATCTCCTCCTCTGTCTCTCCATCTCCTCCTTCATCTGTCCATCTCCTCCTCCTCCTCCATCTCCTCCTCTGTCTCTCCATCTCCTCCTTCATCTGTCCATCTCCTCCTCCTCCTCCATCTCCTCCTCTGTCTCTCCATCTCCTCCTCCTCCTCCATCTCCTCCTCCATCTCCTCCTCTGTCTCTCCATCTCCTCCTTCATCTCTCCATCTCCTCCTCTGTCTCTCCATCTCCTCCTTCATCTCTCCATCTCCTCCTTCATCTCTCCATCTCCTCCTCTGTCTCTCCATCTCCTCCTCTGTCTCTCCATCTCCTCCTCTGTCTCTCCATCTCCTCCTCTGTCTCTCCATCTCCTCCTCTGTCTCTCCATCTCCTCCTCTGTCTCTCCATCTTCTCCTCTGTCTCTCCATCTCCTCCTCCGTCTCTCCATCTCCTCCTCCGTCTCCCCATGCCCTCCATCTCCCACAGAATTTCTCAGCCTGTTCCTCCATCTCCCCCCTATAGCCTCCTCTGTCTCTCCATTTCCTCCAACTCCCCCTATATCAGGGGTAGGCAACCTCGGCTCTCTAGCTGTGCTGAAACTACAAATCCCATAAGGCATTGCAAACCCGCAGGCATGACTCCCAGAGGCAGAAGCATAATGGGATTTTGTCGTTTTAAGGAGAACTATGGGGTCAGGGCTTTTCCCCATAGTTCCCCTTAGGGTAACGGGAGGACACAAACTAGCGTCCTTCCGTCACCCTAGGCTCAGTATATAGGGAGCTACAGCTCGCGGTATACTGAGACGCCAGAGCCGCTCAGCTGCGTGAGTGACAGCTGGCTCTGCCTATCTAGAGGCAAAGCCAGCTGTACCCGCCCCCTCCCCCTCCCCCGTCCGTTCCTCTAGTCAGCGCTGGCGGATCGGAGCTGGGGGAATCCAGCCCCTCCCCTGTCACGGCAGAGAGCCGTGACAGGATCGAGAGGTGAGCGAACACAGGTCGGCTAGAACTATGAGGTGAGTGGAAATCACTCATCTCATAGTTCTCCTTTAAGCACAGCTGGAGAGCCGAGGGTGCCTACCCCTGTCATATACCCTCCTCCTGTCTCTCCAACTCCCCTCCACAATAAAAATTTAAAGGGCAACTTGTCAGCTCCATGCATGAAAAGAAGACATGTTGTTGTTGGCCATTTCTCTTACCTGAGCGATCACGCGCAATTATTTGTAAGACGCATTCAGTAAATTTCTGTTAAAACTTTTCCTCAGGTTCTGTCTTCTCATTACAGTTTACATCAACTCAGAAGAACCTCTGTACAGAGACTGATGTGATGTGCAGTTTGGTTTCATATTATAAAGAAAGCTCGTTACTAGGAATGCACCGATACCGGTATTTCGGTATCAAGTAAGAGTACCGATATACCACAGTGCAGTACAGAGGACACTGAGCCGGTCACATCAGTCTCTGTATAGAGGAGCTTACACTCTAATGCCCCCTCCCCCACAGTCACATCAGTCTCTGTACAGAGGAGCTTACACTCTAATGTCCCCCACAGTCACATCAGTCTCTGTACAGAGGAGCTTACACTCTAATTGCTCCATCTGCAGTTGCATACATTAACTTAAAATCGAGTCAATTTGGGTTGAAGCCAAGTAACCTTCCAGTATATCCACAAGGAGACCATACAAACTCCATGTAACTAGTGTCGCCCCCTGAGAACCGAACCCCCACCCAGTGCCGGTGTGACATTTGGCAGTTTAAACATTTTAACATTTATGTTGAAAACAAAAATTGAATTTCAGGTTTTTTTTGGTCTCTGACCTCTGACCCTGATATAATTGCTACATTTGGTGTCACTTGATGTTCCACTTCTACTCTCTGAGCTGGTTGTAATAAGGACCTGTTACTGCTCTTGGCAGATAAGCTTACACTCTAATGCCCCTGCCACCAGCACACACAATGGGCTCAGTAGCCATTCAACCTTCCAGTCACTTCCATTTGTTTTGGTTTTTGGAGGATACTGGACTGAAAAACACACAATAAATAAATAAATCTCCATGCAGATAAAACCCTAACAGGAGCTGATCCCAGGACCCCAGTGCACCAAGCAGAATGAACTAAAATATTCAAACAAATCTAAAACTTATTTCAAATGTAATACCACCAAAAAAACCATTTCAACTGTATTAGAAAAGTGGAAGATTTCTTCTGTATCAAGACTCCACTCCAAGCTCCGGCATTGTCTGTCTGTCAGTGGGAGCAAAGCAGCACAGCATCAAACATCCCCAGAACTGGACATAAAATGAAGCAGCCGGTCCACACTGAAGGATGTTTCAGTTATAGGTGGATGCTGGAAGGTCAAATCCCCCTCCATAGACTCCAGCAGTGATGGAGGACTCTCCCTAATGTCCACAGGAAGGAGGTGAAGCTGAGAACTCTGGTCAGGTGTGGTGATCATGTTACCAAATAGGAGCCCAAGAGGTTTTTGGGAAACACAAGAACATAGGAGGCCCAAGGGCCTAGTTTGAAGCCCCAAGGATGCAGATAGGAGCCCCAAGGACCTAGTCAGCAGCCTCAAAGATGCAGATAGGAGCCCCATGCACGTAGTTAGACGCACCAAGTACCTAGTTAGAAGCCTCAAGGATGCAGATAGGAGCCCCAAGGACATAGGTGGAAGCCCCAAGGATGCAGATAGGAGCCCCATGGATGCAGATAGGAGCCCCAAGGACGTAGTTGGAAGCCCCAAGGATGCAGATAGGAGCCCCATGGATGCAGATAGGAGCCCCAAGGACGTAGTTGGAAGCCCCCTCAAGGATCCAGTTAGACCCAAGGACGTAATTAGAAGCCCCAAGGATGCAGATAGGAGCCCCAAGGACATAGGTGGAAGCCCCAAGGATGCAGATAGGAGCCCCAAGGAAGTAGTTGGAAGCCCCAAGGATGCAGATAGGAGCCCCAAGGATGTAATTAGAAGCCCCAAGGATGCAGATAGGAGACTCAAGGATGCAGATACGAGCCCCAAGTACCTAGTTAGAACGCTCAAGGATCCAGTTAGAAGCCTCAAGGATGCAGATAGGAGCCTCAAGGATCCAGTTAGAAGCCTCAAGGATGCAGATAGGAGCCTCAAGGATCCAGTTAGAAGCCTCAAGGATGCAGATAGGAGCCCCAAAGACATAGGTGGAAGCCCCAAGGATGCAGATAGGAGCCCCATGGATGCAGATAGGAGCCCCAAGGACATAGTTGGAAGCCCCAAGGATGCAGATAGGAGCCCCATGGATGCAGATAGGAGCCCCAAGGACGTAGTTGGAAGCCCCAAGGATGCAGATAGGAGCCCCAAGGACGTAATTAGAAGCCCCAAGGATGCAGATAGGAGCCCCAAGGACATAGGTGGAAGCCCCAAGGATGCAGATAGGAGCCCCAAGGACGTAGTTGGAAGCCCCAAGGATGCAGATAGGAGCCCCAAGGACGTAATTAGAAGCCCCAAGGATGCAGATAGGAGCCCCAAGGACATAGGTGGAAGCCCCAAGGATGCAGATAGGAGCCCCAAGGAAGTAGTTGGAAGCCCCAAGGATGCAGATAGGAGCCCCAAGGATGTAATTAGAAGCCCCAAGGATGCAGATAGGAGACTCAAGGATGCAGATACGAGCCCCAAGTACCTAGTTAGAACGCTCAAGGATCCAGTTAGAAGCCTCAAGGATGCAGATAGGAGCCTCAAGGATCCAGTTAGAAGCCTCAAGGATGCAGATAGGAGCCCCAAAGACGTAGTTAGAAGCTCCAAGGATGTAGTTAGGTGCAAAAGCTGCGGAACAGAATAAGACAACGGCATAAAATAAACAAAATGTTTATTATTTCTTAATAGAGAACTATGTACAACTCATATTTTCCTTTTTGAAGAGATGACGTGCAGGTCTCAGATGTCTGAACTGATGGAATAATTGCATATCATTTGCTGTAATTTGGCTTGGTATGTAGTAGCCTGGCACTGAGTCCCAGGTACCTTTATAGCACCGTTGTTTGCAGTGTTTATTTAAAGTGCACCTACATGCTAAAACATAGTGCTGGGGGCCACAGTTCAGCTTCATTGTAAATATCCCTGATAACTGCACTCTATTGGTGGTATGTGCCCTTCTACCCCGTCCCAGATCCCAGTCCAGCAAGCTGCCATGTTCCCTCTGATGTACTCTCCTGGCATCTCTCTCGCTGACAGCTGATGGCTGCAGTGGGAAGACAGACATGTGAGGTGGGGTAAGGTCTTCCCCAATTACCCCGGCACTGACTGGTGTGTTTTCTATTCGCAAATAAAAGTTCTATTCTAAACAACATGTGAAGCCTTGCTGTAATAAATATATAAAATGATTGCTGATCACGGCTCATGTAGTCCTGAAATGATGTTACTATATCCTAGGAACCTAAACTAAAAAAATGGACTTTAGATCTGTTACTCTTCTCCAATGTAAATATAGCATTCCCCCCAAGCCCCAAGGACATAGTTGGAAGCCCCAGGGATGTAGTTGGAAGCCCCAAGGCTATAGTTGGAAGCCCCAGGGACGTAGTTGGAAGCCCCAAGGTCGTAGTTGGAAGCCCCAAGGTCGTAGTTGGAAGCCCCAGGGACGTAGTTGGAAGCCCCAGGGACGTAGTTGGAAGCCCCAAGAGTTGTAGTTGGAAGCCCCAAGGCTGTAGTTGGAGGCCCCAGGGACGTAGTTGGAGGCCCCAGGGACGTAGTTGGAAGCCCCAAGGCTGTAGTTGGAGGCCCCAGGGGCGTAGTTGGAAGCCCCAATGACGTAGTTGGAAGCCCCAAGGCTGTAGTTGGAGGCCCCAGGGACGTAGTTGGAAGCCCCAAGGCTGTAGTTGGAGGCCCCAGGGGCGTAGTTGGAAGCCCCAATGACGTAGTTGGAAGCCCCAAGGCTGTAGTTGGAGGCCCCAGGGACGTAGTTGGAAGCCCCAAGGACGTAGTTGAAAGCCCCAAGGACGTAGTTGAAAGCCCCAAGAGTTGTAGTTGGAGGCCCCAAGAGTTGTAGTTGGAGGCCCCAGGGATGTAGTTGGAAGCCCCAGGGACGTAGTTGGAAGCCCCAGGGACGTAGTTGGAGGCCCCAGGGATGTAGTTGGAAGCCCCAGGGACGTAGTAGGAAGCCCCAGGGACGTAGTTGGAGGCCCCAGGGACGTAGTTGGAGGCCCCAGGGACGTAGTTGGAACAAGGACGTTACCTCCCTTCGAATGGGGTACCCTAGGGACCATGAGACCAATCATCCTCCAACTTACTGCCCTTTCTTCCTCAAAGTTGCCTCCAAAAGGGTGTACTGTGTAAGGCAGAGGTAGCCAATCAGTGCCTCCGCCTGGCTGCAACTAAGAGGCGAATATGTGAGGTTGGTGTTTCCGCAGGTGTCCCATTCCAGAACTGAGGTAAGTGTTTGGGAGAATGAAATTCCACTTTGTTATGGGAGCAAAGGT